GTTCTGGCAGAGAGTTTAAAGAAGATACAGTCAAACATGTTGAAATAATTGTTTTCATGCATTCATCTCCAACAAATGTCATGTACAACCAAACAAGTTATTCAGGAAAAGTAAAGGTCCTTAGAACAAAAATAATTTTAATAATACTTTTAAAGATTACCTGCCAATTCAACATCAGTGTGAGCAGCTGTTGCAATATCCTTGGCCAAAGTAGCAGCTGCCTTCTTCTTCAACAAGACCACAACAGTAATGACCACAGCAACACCACCTCCAATGGCTGCAATTGAAACGATTGGAACGACCACAGCTGCAGCAATAACTCCTGCATTACTATTTCCTTGAATTGATGGTTCTCCAGCACGAGATGGAATAGAGTTTGAGGCAATTGGAGTGTTTCGTTGTTGGAGTATTAAGGCACTTTCGGTTGCAACTTGGAATGAGATTGGTGTTGTGGAATTGTAGAGAGTTGCCTTTGCTGTGAGTGATCCTTTGGAGAGAGAGGATGGGAGAGAGAAAGACATGCTTGGATATAGTGATTGTTGGGAAGATATTGCTGAAGTGAGAGCTTGATTGTCAAGAAGGAATTCCAACTTAATGTCGACAGATTTGTTGGCATAAAAATCGAGGAATGTGGAATCTTGAATGCTGAGGGTGAGTATGGTGGAAATTTCTCCAATAAAATCAGTAGTGCTATTGAATGATAAGGTGAATGATTGAGAAAGGTATCTCAAGTGACATTGATTGCCAGCATAATTTTGTTTACATTGGCATGTGTTAAAATTGACACAATTACCTTGAGAGTTACAGGCATTAGAATCCAATGAAGTTTTCCCATAACAATACGTCGTATTACATGCTGATCCGAACCACTTGCTTTCATCAAGACAGTTACAATTATCAAACGAAAGACAAGTACCATTTCTATTGTTACAAACTTGTGAGCTTGCTTGTTCAATACCAAAACAGGTGGTCAATTGACAATCAGAGCCATAATATCCACTGTCACAATTACATGTGTTAACATCAACACATTTACCTCTTCCACTACAAACCATGCTTGAATTTTGTAAAATTCCACTACATTTAACAAGTTCACAATTGTTTCCTCCGTAACCATCTCGACAATTACAATTATTTACACTGTCACATGAACCGTGTGAGCTACAGACTGATGATGAGTTGAATTCAACACCATAACATTTGAAATATTGACATTGTTCACCAAAGTAGCTAGAATCACATCGACAATTATCAGTTGATAAACAAATTCCGTGTCCAGAACATGATCTACTGTCTGCCTTTTCAATTCCATAACAAGTTGGATTCTTTGGCTTACAATCATTTGGTGCAAAACAAAACTTGTCAGTATCATTACAGACACGGCTGTCATTTGCCAATAATCCATAACAAATTGGGAATTCACAAGTTGTGGAAGGTCCATATCCAGTTGAGCAATTACAATTATTATACGAAAGGCAAGAACCATGACCAAAACAAACTGTGCTATCATCTGAAGCAACAGAATTACAAGTTGTCTTTTCACAGTTTGTTCCATAGTAATTGGTGGAACATTTACAATTGTTTGGACCCACACATTGACCTTTTGATGAACAGACACGTGTGTCATTAGAAAGTTTTCCATTACAAATTGCAACATCACACTTTGATCCTGTCCACCCAGTACTGCATGAACAAGTGTCAGGAGCAATACAAGTACCATTTCCATTATTACAAATCAAATTAGTTTGGTTAGTATAGACACCAAAACATCTAATAAGATTACAATTAGAACCTCCATAACCATTATCACATTGACATGTATCAACATTCTTACATGAACCTTTTCCACTACATACTGAACTTTCGTTTTGTAAAATGCCAAAACATTTAACAAGTTCACAATTAGCACCACCATAATTAGGTAAACATTCACAGTTATTCAATGATTTACAAGTACCCTTTCCAGAACAAACTTTAGAAGTATTAGTAGAAAGGATTCCACCACATTTGAAAATTTCACAATCTGATCCACCATAATTATTACTCTCATAACATTGGCAAGTGTTTGGTGAAATACAATTACCTCTAGATGAACATTTTCTAGTGTCATTGGCAAGAATTCCATTACATTTAGGAATTGAACAAAAATTTCCTCCCCAAGAGCTAGTATCAGTACATTGACAAATATTATTGGCTAAACATGTACCTCTTCCACTACAAACTGATCCTTGATTGGAGAGTGTACCATTACACTTGAATAGTTCACAATCATTTCCACCAAATAGATTAGTATCAGTACATTGGCAAGTATTTGGTGCAGTACATGTACCTCTAGAGTTACAAACATTTGGATCTGTTGAAGGTTTTGAGTTACAAATTGGAGAATCACACTTTAGTCCAGTATATTTGGAATAATCTTTACAAACACACTTGTCACCAGCCACACAAATACCTTGTCCAGAGCACACAGTTGATGTTTGAGTGGCTTGAATTCCATAACAAATAGGAGTTTCACAATTGGATCCTGTATAGAGAGAATTACATTGACAATTATTAACACCAGCACAGGTGCCATTTGCTGAACAGACGGATGGATTATCTGACAGAATTCCACCACATTTTGGAAGACTGCAATAAGAACCTCCATAATTAGTATTACAATTGCAAGTATTATAATCAGCACAAGTTCCTTGGTTGTTACAAGCAACTGAAGTATTGGAATACTTGCCATCACAAGTTGTGACTGTACATTCATTTCCATAGTAATTGGTATTACATTGACAAGAGTCAACTGCTGTGCAGGTACCTTTCAAGTTACAAGCTGTTGTGGATGTTTTTCCATAACACTTTGGGGAAGTGCACTCATTTCCGTAGTAATTAGCATTGCAAACACAAGTGTCGACTGCAGTGCAAGTACCTTGATTGTTACAGGCATTGGATGTTTTTCCATAACACTTTGGAGAAGTACATTCGTTTCCATAATAGTTGGCATTACAAACACAAGTGTCGACTGCAGTACAAGTACCTTGATTGTTACAAGCGTTGGAGGTTTTTCCATAACACTTTGGTGAAGTGCACTCATTTCCAAAATAGTTAGCATTGCAAACACAAGTATCGACTGCAGTGCAGGTACCTTGATTATTACAGGCATTGGATGTTTTTCCATAACACTTTGGTGAGCCACATTCGTTTCCAAAATAATTGGTGGTACATTGACAAGTATCAGGAGCACTACAAGCTCCTTGAGTTGGTCCTCCACAGGCAGCATCCCCTACTTTGGAATAACAAATAGGAACACATGATCTTCCATCAGATGTTAATTGATAACCACTATCACAGTATGGATAAATTTTCTTAACAGTTCCAGTGTCGGATATTCCTTCAGTTACATAAACTTCATTCTTGTCAGTAACGAAAATACCATAAATACTAGTTGAAAAATAGCAAGAGAGAGCTTCTGAGTCTTCTGCACAAGTAGTCCCAGCTCCACTGGCACCAGCAAAATCTGAGGTTGATCCCCCTTCATATTTCTTGATCTTCTTATTTCCAGAATCAGAAATGAATATTTCATTATACGTTGTGTAGAATATTCCTGTTGGACCAGATAAGCC